CATCCTGAAAGGTGGTGCGGTGAGCATGCAGCACGCCACAGACAAGAAGCAGAAAAGACTAAAAAGGAGACACTTTTCAAAGAAAAATACTGCGCATGGAGCCCAATAGATATGCTACGCAATCGGACGTCCACACATAGGTCCAAAGCCTACAAATCTAAATGATCTTCATGATGGAGCAATTCAAGGTCCTCCGGGCGGCAATCACATAAAGAAATGACCGAACGCCTCGCTTGGAGTCAGAACCTTAGGAGGTCCATCCCCAAAAGACCGCAGCGAAAAGTTTGTCTGGTAAAGATAACCAAATCAGCAAACAACGGGCAGAGGAACAAGGTGAGTCCCAGCACACAGAAACAGACTCGTTCGCACAGGCGAACTGACGATAGGAAGAGTGGATGCAAGTGCTTGTCAGACCGCTCGCAGGCGAGGCTTTTACTTGTCAAATGAAAGAGGTGGTACCTTCACACAATCCAAGGATCACTCGTTGGACTCTTACAATGGGAGGATCGACCCGCTCGATCGCGTGGCATCTTCTAGTCATCGATCAGCATGCTCCAAATCGATGACCCATAATGTGTGGACTTTTCTTAGCCACCCTGAAGGAGTAAGCCCTTTGATGGTTCAATGATCTGCCGACTGAAACCATCTTAAGTTACTACGAATTTAAAAGAACATTTATTTTGCACTTCTTAATTTTATAGAAATCGAGGAACGACTCAAACACCCTGCTCAACCTTAAGCAAGGAGAAAACAAGAGCCTAAGGACCTAGATCATCCATTTATAGAATAAGATGTTGAAAGTTAGAGACCTGAAGCTTGATATAGCCAGAACCGCTTTCAAACAAGGATTTCGAAGTAAATTGTTCAGGTGTGACTTAAACCTATTTAGACCCACTACTTTCACAAAGGTACTGAAGATGGCGAATAAGCACATACTCATCAAGGAAGAACTCTAGGACTTCTCGAAGGGTAATCTGGAGTAGCTCAACCTTCCATCAAAACGAACGAATGAACAGAGTGAATTGTGGAAGGCAAAGGACAATCAGTCCTCCACCGGTCACCACAACAACAACAACAAATCTTGGTCCCAGGATCAGCAGGGAAATGTTCGAGAGCCTCATGATTGAAATTAGCGCTCCGACTAGCAATCAACCCAATATTACAAGCGACCATCTTCTTGTCAGGAAATGTAAGGTTTAACACCCCTCAACGTGTCAATGGCTGAAAGTCCAAGCCATCCAAAACATGAACTAATTCAAACCGGCCCCGCCTTTGAAGGCGCCCCCCGACCTTAAAAGATTCGAAGAGATACAACCAGTACCATCATAACCATGCTCACGATTTGGAGGATTATCGTCACCTCTGAAATATGATAAAGGAGCTCACATGCAGCGACAAGCAGGAGAACCCGTGAACGGGTCTGTCAGGGTGAATGAGGTCCTTGTAGTAAGGCTAGTTCTGGCCATCTTTAGGGGAGGAACCTGACCCTAAAACTTGAAAAGACAATGTTTGAGATAGATATGCTTCGTCATCTTGTATACAAGTAACCACTTACCAATTATTTTTACAGACGCATATCTCCCACAGAAGGGAAACCCTACAATGAAGCGATCATCGTCATGGTGCTAATCAACAACCATCAGGTGGGTAGTATTCTTATTGATACAGAGAGTTCTATCAATATCCTGTTCAATAAGATCAGCTTGAAGACTGATCGGTTGACAGTGTAAGCTAGTTTGTTGTTTAGATTCCCCGGGGAAAGGAAGCTAGAGATGGGCCTCATCGCCTTAGCCATTTCTTGGGGAGAACCAGGGAAGCAATACAAAAACACGGAGGATTTTCTTATTGTGGAATCTCCACTAACCTACAACGATATCTTCTGATGGCCGCTCCTGAACAACTACTAGGTGGTGATTTCAACTTGTCATGTAGACGTAAAATTTTCAGGCAACGGAAGATGATGATGGTTTGGGGGAACTTGGAGAAATCTAGAATCCGCTATTTGAGAGCATTCTCAAATGTTGACCATAGACCACTTGATATTCAGATCCAGAGGGAGAGGGGTCTCGGGACCAGCAAGGTCATCTTTCAGGTACCTGTGTCTGATAAAGAACCTGGTAAGATTTTCCTAATCAATGAATTTTTTGATGTAGGACTCAGGGACTAGCTGACATGGACACTTCAAAAGCACCGGTAAGTGTTTGCTTGGACCATAGCAAAGATGTATGGTGTTTCAATCGACACAACATGCCACCGACTAGACAACAACCCCTACTCTAGGTCAGTCCAGCAGAAAAATAAATCAACTTTCTTAACTCTTGCTGAACTGATAGTAATAGAGGTGTAGAAGCTGCTTGATATCAGCTACATCCTTGAAGTCATGTACCCAAAATAGGGGATTGATCTAAAGTTTACTTTAGTTCATCGTCTGAGGATGAATGAGCAAGCCAAAGCAACTAACAAACTCATCATGAATCTATTAAGGAAAAAACTCGAAGTA